CTAGTTATTTCGTTATTAGTTAGTTTTTGTTAGTTTACGTTAGTTTACGTTAGTTTACGTTAGTTTACGTTAGTTTACGTTAGTTTACGTTAGTTTACGTTAGTTTACGTTAGTTCACTACTAAATAACTTAAATTATCTACGAACATAAGAGCTAATATCAAGTTTTGAAGAAAATTTCAATTTAAAATTTTTGCAATGATCACTTTTATTATTATCATTTATTATTAAACAAAACTGCTATCATTATATTATGGTTCAATTCTTTATAGTTATACAATAGCTAATATTGTCCATTTGTTTGTTAATTGTTTATTGTTAGCATTGTTAGCGGATAGTAGGTTAAAATGAGAAATGATAAAGATGCAAACAATATAACAAATTATTAACAAAATCGTATAAACTTTCTCAGTAAAGTCTTATATTTGGCTTGTAGAAAATGGTAGGAAAACCCCGGAAGGACCCGTGTCCTGGATAAAGTTTCATACAAATTTGGGTTCATAAATTTGCATGCATCAAAATCTTGACACCGCTTCGCATGTCGGCACGTCTCATTTTAATGCCTCTCCTTCTACGTATAACATGTACAACGCTATATGTTATATAGAAATTCGTGCTCCCTTTTCTTCCTGCTTTTATTTTGCACCTCTTTTAACTTTTTCTCTTCTCTGTCTTGTTTATTTATTTTGTTCCACCAGGTAAAGTTTTAATTTGTATGCAGGCAAAAATTGCCGTGCCTGCCTCGATTACTCTCGAGCATCGCACGTGAGTGCAGAGCAACTTCCACTTAATTGCTAATTAATTTCAGCTACCGGAAATTACGCAATGGTACGCGCAGATTCTAATGGTTACGTGTCGTCGGATGCGTACTTGAAAATACCGCTGTCCGATGATGTTCTGTTGCATAATTGTGCATTTGCCGGCGCGAACTTGACCTGCCTTTGTGGGGGCCAACGGAGGTCGGAATCCTCTAACTCACTCTCTCTCTTAAATTGTATGTATCTGTCTCATAATCCTACTCTCTAACTCCCCACAACGGGCAACTGGGTTGGTTTCGATATGGTGAATGTGGATCACCTCTCTGCTGCAATTATCATTAGTTTCTCTGTTGCAAGAGAGAAATGCACTTGACATCGAATTGATATTAGGAATTATTCAGTTACTGGGTTTTTATGCCAACCTTCTCTTTTTTTTTCTATTCTCTTAATATCCATAATCATTTCTATATTCGTTCATAGTTAATAATATATCATTTAATAATCTTTCAAATCATGCATATTCATATCAAAATTACAATTTGATTATGATTTGTCGCATCCGACGGATGTATTATACCTTAACCTAATTTCACGATAAAAACTTTCATTTGACCTTTAACATTTTCAGGATGGAAAATTATTTTTTTAACAATTTATTGAAGATTTCACAAGCACAATTTTTGTAATATCTTTTATAATTATTGTGTTTGTTACGACTGAACACATTTATAGTAAATACCAATAATTTGTTCATGTAAACAATATATTTATTAATATCGATAAATTTTAGCAAGATTCTTATATATAAATTTATAAATGTATTTTCTTAATTTGGAGATGAGAGAAATTGAGAATGTGAAATTGTCAGGAAGGATGCACCAAGAGAAAACATTTGCGCAATCAAAAATTAGCAATGTATGAAAAAAAACGATGTAACTAACATTCTTTTCGAAATTAACCTTGACAAAAAACATAATGGAATAACGTTGTTACAAGTTACATAAAATCGTCATTAATTGCAAGTTTATTTTTTTTAATCTATTAATTAAGTGAAATTTATAATAAAAGAAGGAAATTTACAGTGTTTTATACGTTTTAGAAAAATTACATTTTTTTAGTAATTTTATTCAATTATTTGTACTTCTTCGTACTTATTTTTTTTTCTAAATACAATATTTGTAATAATGTATAATAATAATATTTATTGCAACAATCAAATTAAGAAATAAAATAAAGTGCCCAAATTTATAATACTTATTTAAACAAATTTAATGGTCGCAACTTAGGATTTTCTATCCACTTATTTTTTTTGTCTATTTTATTTGCAATCAACTGAACATTTAGAAAATCGGTTTGCTGTGAACATTGGGAAGTTGAAATTGAAGATACAAGTGCTTCGTATGCGAATCAAGCCTGTTCGTATATTTTTTTGGAGAAATCTTTGGCATCCTCTTCTACTCTCTTGATTCAAAAGTCCTGGTGCAGTCTCCTGGTACATCCATGATACGTAGTCAATATGTGCAACCACGATTCTTCAAATAAATTTAGATTGGAATACTTGGATTTTTTTTTAAATATTCAATGAATACAGTCTCCGGCGTTCAATCGATTTCTGTTTTTTGTTTTTATGTTCATTAAAGCGGAAAAGCCTTGTTAACAAAAATATGTTGTTCCAAATGGCAACAGTTTTTTAACCGCCTCTTCATGTGCATTTTTGAAAGCCTTTGCAGCTTTTGACATCCAACAAGACGACAGATTTGCTTTGGTCTCAAATTGAATACGTGCTTCAGTATTCATGAATTTCCTCTGCCAAACCTGGAGGTTCTTCTGGTATGTTAGTAATTTCACAGTTAAAAGGATCTACAACCCAATCACAGTTTGTACATCAAGATCTGGAAAGTAGTCAGAGAACCGTTCTCTGAGTTTGGTAAGATGAAATTAGAAAAATTTCCCTATTACCCAAAAAAATTCATTTTTACCCCATTTTGGGTAATTTACCCCGGTTCCCCGACCACTGGTCTAGTGCATTCCCAAATATCTCACACTTGAAGATGTTGGAACTACTTTGTTGTTGATTTTAACTTGCTTATATCAATACACCATTTCCTGAACCATATCTTGGGCAAATTAAGCTCTTCTTGAAGGTATGGAGATGCAATTATGTTTTTTGTCTGATCTCATGATCGATGTCGTTGGCAAATATTGCTATATTTGTTTTGTATGTTGTTGGTTTATCTGTAGTATATAGGAGACACTCCCCTGTGGAACGCCCATTTCCTCAATTCCGATAAAAAGAACTTTCTGTCATTTAGGTAGGTTTTCAAGACTTTATAGACCTTATGTGGAAGTTTCATTTTTAACTTGTAGATCAAACTTTTGTGGAAAGCCTGTGTCATATAAGAATATAGCTCTTTTCTTCTAGATCCTGGCCGATGGCATCAACTAGTCGATTAACTTGATCTATCGTACTGTGTACTCTACGAAATCCAAACTGGTGATCCGATATGAGTTCCTGTTCATGTATAATACAACACATTATCCATGAACAGGAAAAGTTTTTCAAACACTTTCGATAGTTGTGTTATCTTATCGATCTATAAGATGTAAGTTCATCTGTAGATTGGAATCATTATTATTGGTGCGACTTTCCATTGTAATGGGCAATGATATAAATATCATTATATAAGAACTAATTAGAAATTAATATTATATAATTTTTGCATACTACTTGCAACTTTGTCTAATTAATTAAAGTTTATAATTAATTAATACTTATTATTATTCATAAAAAAAAACTAATTAACATGTTTGCACCGTAAAATTTCACATAAATACGCCAAATCTTAAATGTGTAAACTTGAAATTAATATGGTTAAAATGGATGTAATCAAAACGCATATTAGAAAATCAATAAACTTTTGCATAATGTATTTTAATTGATGGAACGTAATTAATTTGAATTGCTCATAAACAACGCCAGCACAAATATAAAATTGCAATCATTAAACGGATCGGACACTTAATAACTTCTTGGTAAAGTTTAATTAAAAACAAAAACCAGACTTCCTTATTCCAATACATACAATTAATATCTTCGCAGCTGTTTTTTGCTCGGCACTACGAAAGGAAACGGACACAGTTTTTCCCTCGATGTATTTATTATTTTTTTGTTTACTTTTAGTTTATTTCCACCACGTTCAGGAAGTCTCGTTTAATTACGCTAAAGCCGTTTCCACTTACGCTAAATGTTAAATTAATAAATCTAATAAGAACTTAATTAACGTTTGTAATGTATATCCAATTAAATCGGAAAATGTCGTAATCCGATCCACCTGTGTATGTCTATGCATGTGTACGGTCTTCGATATAATTAATATTCTATTAATTTTTGTTTGCCGTTGCAAAAACGTTAATTGCTTCTCGAGATAAGATTTAATTAATTATTCCTAAACATTAGTAAAATCGTTTAGCATTGAAATCGATTTGCGGAAATGCGTATCAATAATATTCGTATACTTTTATTTTACAGTTCGTATTAGAAAATCGAAATGGAAACCGGAACCTAACGGTTTTTTTTTTAGAATCAAAAAGATGGTTTTCCCAGTGGTCTCGAATTGCAACGTGTATTAAGATTATGCGTATATCGCGAGGATTGCGGTAAGGAGAGGAAGAAGAAATTGAATGGAGTGAATGGTTTGAGAATGCTTTCGAAATCACTTTTACTGTTAGACGAGATAAATTCTCTCTTCTGCGTTGCTCTCGACCATCAACGAAAAGAAAAGTAATGGAGCAAAACAAACAAAAAAGAACCAATTCATTTCAGAATTCCTTTCATTATTACTTCTAGGTCATCTTTGATTGCGAATTTTTAATGAAGAATATCGATGATATTAATAAATTCCAAATTTTCGTATTTCAAATAATTTAATTTACTGTTTATAATTACAAATATATCACGAATTTTGGTACAAGTTTATATTAATTGCTCTAAAGCTTTGATTAATTATTTTTTTTGTGCTAAAGTGCAAGAAATTGTTGGTGTAATTAATATAGGGAACGGGTTAGTTTCTATAAACGCAGTTTCTAATGGAGACAACTGTTCCAGTCAATGCATCTTGAAAAGTCAACAAACGTGAAGAAAATGATTGCGGTTTTGTGTATAAAAGGAGTCTGCGTGCGGGGAAATGCATCAGTTGCGAGTCGCACTTACTTCCATCACCATCATAGTCCGAGTCTAGTTGTTATGAATTCATTTGTAAGTCTAAATCGGATTCAGTCAGGATTATGTTATTTTTCTATTTTTTTCTTTTTGGTTGCAGAGTTTCGTACTGTTTGTGGGATTGGCGTCGCTTGCAAACGCTGGATTTTCAAGTGGAGGATACGATGGGGGACATTTTGATTTTGGATCTGGAGGACACTCCGAAGAGCATCACGAGATTCCGACCAAGACCATCGAGTACACGAAACCGGTGCACGTGCCGGTCGTGAAGAAGATCGGGATACCTGTGCCACATCCTGTCGGAGTGCCAGTCCCGCAGGTCATCAAGGTCCCAGTACCGCAACCTTATCCAGTGCACATCCCAGTGCCGCAGCCAATTGCAGTGCCGATCTACAAGCTTGTTCCGCAGGAAATCGAGAAGAAAATACCGATTGTCGTTGAGAAGCCAGCACCTTATCACGTGGAGAAACCTTACAAGATCGAGATCGAGAAGCACTTTCCAGTTTACGTACCAAAGCCATACCCAGTGCATGTTCCAGTCTACAAGCACGTTTACCACCACGTACCAAAGCACGGAGGAGGAGGCGGTGGTCACGGTGGTGGACACGGCGGTGGACACGGAGGACACTGACTTTGAGATGCTCACAGAATCTCTGCTGAGTAACTTAAGTCACGAACTTAAACCAAAACATTCATCTCATTCATATCCATTATCTTGTTACATTTTTTTTGTTATTGTTGTTACGTGTGTAAGACTTATTTAAAATAATATATTATACTTGAAATCATGTATTTATACTTCATTTAAATAGAAAAATATAATAAAAACAAATATTAACAAATCCACATTTTACTATTTTATATAAAGTAAATTTCTAATAATAATGAAGATAATATAATTTTTAGATAAAAGTAAGTATTAATTTATTAATAGACAACTGATTTCAAGTCAAAGTAATTTCTAAACAACCATTTATATTTAAATTCTTGTTATTTAACAATTAATTATTTATCGGAACTACCAATTTTTGTATCCATTTAAAACAAAATAAATTAATGTAAAACTCTATAAATATTTGTAAGAATAAATAAAAGTCTTTGCAAATCTGCCTTTTCAATCTAACAAAATACACGAGAATTTTATGTTATTTATATAGTGTAGGAATTTAGAACGTTTTATATATTTATGCAGATGTAATTAGAGTTTTTGAATTTAAATTTACATAATAAAATTGCATTAATTTCATAGAATTTAAATAAATACATAAAATCATCAGAATATATCCTATTATTTACAACAGTTCTAATTGGCTTTTAACAATGAAGACGGTATTTTTGAACCCTGATTATCTCATGACTCATTCACAATATGAAAGATATTTTCTTTACTAAAGAAATTAAGCAATTTACGAAACTACGATACTAACGTTTTGTATAAAGTAAGTCATGTGTAAAGTTCTTTTTCAGCGTCAACATTCAAGTATTCGTGCTACCTTCATTCAATTTATTTTATATCCCAAGAAAATCTCTCACGTACCTCTTCAGTCTCGGCGTTATGAAATTCAACAAAATTGTCTTGTTGGAGGGTATACAAACAAAATAAATTTAAACCCATTGAGAGTTATCATCGTTTATCATATAATAATTATAAATATTATATAAAAAAAATATTACAACATAAATCATCTAACTACAATACCTCATACAGTCCGGATTCATTATAGTCCGGTTTTGAAAATTATAAATGATTTTTATTCATTGATACAAGTCAATTAAATATCTCGATTAGTCCAGTTTCAAATAGTTCGGGATATTGGCGCAACCTATTACCCGGACTATGCGAAATATTACCGTATTTATCTGTGAATTGCATAAAAAATCATAGTATTAAAAGTGTAGTTAAATTAATAAACATTTAAATGTAATAGAAAAACGTTAGACCAATATTGGAATGTCATCGTCGGTTCCAGTGATAGTTTGGTTTTTATAATATCGAGAATATTTGGAGCGTACGTGAATTTGAGTATAAAAGCAGAGCGTCGGAAAGTGGACGGCATCAGTTGCGATTAGCAGCTAGTTCAGACATCATCATCTATACCCAAGTAAAGATATCATGAATTCATTTGTAAGTATTAGGAAGATTAGCGCGATTATCAATCATATACTTCAACTCAATTTTCTTTGCAGAGTTTTGTCGCTTTTGTGGCGTTTGCTGCAACGGTTTTAGCTGGAGATTTAAATGGAGGTGAATACGACAGTGGAAGTTATAACTATGGTTCTGGAGGATATTCCGAAGAGCACCACGATATTCCAACTGATACTGTGGAATACACTAAACCGGTGCATGTACCAGTTGTAAAGAAGATCGGAATTCCTGTTCCTCATCCAGTGGGAATACCAGTTCCTCAAGTTATTAAAGTCCCGGTACCACAACCGTACCCAGTTCACATTCCTGTACCACAACCGATTGCTGTACCAATCTACAAGTTGGTGCCACAAGAAATTGAGAAGAAGATTCCGATTGTTGTTGAGAAACCAGCTCCATACCATGTAGAGAAACCATACAAAATCGAAGTTGAAAAGCATTATCCAGTTTACATACCAAAACCATACCCAGTCCATGTACCAGTCTACAAGCATGTTTACCACCATGTACCAAAACACGGAGGAAGCAGCGGTGGAAGCAGTGGAGGTCATGGTTGGCACTGAATTTAAGATACTTGGAAATTCTTAAGTATCTTTAGTCCAATTTAGTACTCATACCTATCATCATAATCATCTCATTCGTTATCATTTATATGTTAATATCATTGTTGCTATGTTTGTAAGTTTATTATAGAAAAATAATAAAAATATTATTTCATATCTCAATTTATTTTTTAAAACATACATAATAACTTTCACCAAGTCCATACTTTGTACGTGACACGCCTATCTCTATTTATTAAAGATTCTTATATTAAACTTTATAAGATACATTGGGCCAATAAACTTTCCTTTATAATGAAGTTTTTCTATGTACTCAATATTTGACTCGAAATGATTTCATCATCGATTTTACATTTTTTTTCTATTTAACTATATATTTTTGATAAAATAAAATGATTATAGATATAGTTGAACTATTATGTAGTAAATACATATTATTTTACGTTCTTTGAAGATTATGTCAATGCAATAGATGATTACAATTAAATATTTAAAATTTAAAATTACTGGAATAAATAAATTATTTTTTAGTAATATTAAATGCATTTATTCGAAAATTTTATCTAATTTATGTATCTTTGCATATAATTTTTAAATATTTTTGTTAATTTTACTATTTATAAATAAATTTAGTTATTAAATGAATAAAATTTATAATATCATTACCGCTTTTAAACTCTATATATTGTAAATTAATTTCATACTTATATTAATAATAATCACTTATCTTCTTTAAATTTTAATGCATTCTTGAATTAGAATATGTCTAATGCAGGTGTTTTCAACCTTCCTTATTTTTTTTTATCTCAATGCACACTTTAACTTATAGTTAAATTTCCACGGCGCACTTGAACCTGTAGTTAAACTTCTGCTGAACACTAGATCTTTTAAAATTTTCGCGGCATACCCAGATCCTGTCATGTAAAATTAGTTGTTTTTTTATTCTAACTAGTTTGAATATTGATCAATTAAAAGTAATACATTTTTTTTTAATACTAAATATAAATCAACCTTCAACCAATCCACCAAGAGTGTATTTAATGTAAAATTAAGAAATTTGTTTATGGTCTCATCATTAGTATTACATTTTACTTGAATTTATTTTTTTTCCATTAATTAAACTAAACTTTGAATTGATTGAAATCTTTGCTGTTTTTTTTTTAAACAATAATAAGAAGTTTGTCTGTATCTAATATTAAGCTAAATTTTCAGAAAAGGAAGTGTGGAAGAATATAAAAACAAATAATTTTCGGTGCATTTATTTTGGATTTCACTGTTAATAAATAGTCTCATACATCATTAATCATATATGGACAAGGTATAAATAATAGGAGGTGCGGTTCCGGTCATTAATTTTTGTATAATACATAACAAGTTGAATTCAAGCTCTTTTCAATTTCGGGTATAAAAGCAGGTCATCCGAAAGTAAACGGCATCAGTTGCAAATCGCAGCTTATTCCATCATCATCAACATCCAAGAATCGCTATTATGAATTCATTTGTAAGTGTAGTAAACATGAGTATAAATGTGATATTTTACTCAAAAATTGTATTTTTTTGCAGGGATTTATCTTATTCGTGGCGTTTGCTGCAACAGCTTTAGCTGGGGATTTAAGTGGAGGTGAATACGACAGTGGAAGTTATAACTATGGATCTGGAGGGTATTCTGAGGAGCACCATGAAATCCCAACAAAAACTGTGGAGATACACTAAACCGGTGCATGTACCAGTCTGAAAGAAGATCGGAATTCCTGTTCCTCATCCAGTGGGAATACCAGTTCAT